CTGGGGATTTTGTTTGTTTGTTTGTTTGTTTTTTGGTACCGGGGATCAAACTTGGACCCTTGCACTTGCAAGGCAGGTGGCAGAACCACTGAGCCAAATTCCCAGCCCATAAATGGGCTGTATTCAGGATATCTAAAGCCAAACTTACCTTTTCTACCTTTCAGTTTTCCTCCTTCCCAAAAGTTGGACTGTATCCCCCTTTCACTTTCTTCTCCTGTTGGCTGAGTCACTTCATCCTACTTTCTGTTTCTCCAGATTCATTCTCTGTTCCTTTTATCTTTTGCTGAAGGCTCACAGCTCTCCTTCCCTCTTCAGAATCCTTCAGACTTTTGAGTAGCTTGTGCTGTAAGCATTTTTCCTCTGCAGTGTGGACAGAATATCCAAGCTGCTTAGCATTAGGACAGAGTAAAATGCTATGAATTGTAATAATTGATAACAAAACACCAAATGAATTGCTCCATTTCTGTTCAATGCCAGCTGCCACCAACAAATCCTGCCTTGTGCTGTTGAGCAAGCAGGACCAGAGTGTATTAGGCAGGGGAAAACTTTAATATCCTTGCATTTTAAGGTAAGATTTCTGGAGGAAATTAGAACGGTCCCAGACTGAGACTTGATTCTTAGCACCCACAGGGAAGACCAAGGCTTTAGAGCTGTGATGCCAGCTGCTCACAGCTGGTATTTCATGCTTATTTTCATCACAGGTAAGGATTCACAGTAAGGAATGACAAATTTACACCTGATTTATTTATTTTTTCATTGCTGAAGATCAAACTCTTCATGGCTCCTGCGTGCTAGGCAAGTATTCTACTACTGAGCTACACCCTTAAACCTTACAAATCTCTTTTATAGCTAACACCACTAAAAAAATGTATAGGAATCGGAGTTTTGGAAAATGAGCCTAATGAGCCCTAAGAATGAGCCAGTGTAATTTGACAATGTATCCGGGAAAGAGGACTGGCAGGGAAGCCCGGCCTGGAGCTGCCCTCATGGGCACAGCAGCTGGGACTTTGAGGCCATAGTCAGGGTTTTCCCTTTCAGAGACTAAAGGAATCCAAACACTTGCAGGTACAGTCCTCACATCCTCAGCCTTGTCTGGACCATACCTTGGGAAGCCCCCAGCTTCTTGCCTTCTGCCGCTCTCCACCCTAGAGGTCTGAGCTGCCTTTCTTTGTCCAGTGAAGCGAGGCAGAGAAGCAGAGGGGGTCGCTGTGTCCCCCTATCCTGGAGACTGGCCAACTGTGAGACCTTGGCTGCCTATCTCTGCTGGTCATTTCCTCTTGCTTGACTCGTGTTCCCTTGAAAGCTGCTGCAAATTTTGCCATAGCCTTCTTTCCTGTCTGCTTTTGAGATCCTGCGGATTTCTGGGATGTAGAATGCTCCCTTAGCAGGGATACTGTTTCTTTTAAATACCATCTCTCCTATTTGTCTGGATGTTTAATTTGAAGCCCTGGTTCAACTCACTGTAAGAGTCTTTGCTCTTTTTCTGGCTCACTGGTTAGACTTAACCCTAGAGTTCTGAGCCAGCTCTTTGTATTTCTTTTGTGGTTGTGGTGTGTATGTACGCAAGAATACAAGGAAATGAGCACAAAGATGAAAAATCCACGTGGAGGCGCTGGGGTTTGAACCCGGGACCTCGTACATGCGAAGCACACACTCTACCACTGACCTACGCCCCCTGCTGCGTTTACATTCTCTAAAAATCATCCCTAAAATACTATTTTGGTTTTCAGTTTTATTTTGTAGGTTGAAGAAAGGTACTGGGTTAAAATCTATCACTTGCAAAATTCCTAGCCATGGTATCCCCGAGACAGGGTGCCCAGGGTCCTGAGGAGACTGTCTCCGAATCAGAGACTCTCGAAGCACCCCCCCTCCCCGCCCGTTTGCCATCCGCACCAGAAAAAAAAATCACAACTTCCCTCCAAACCTAGCAACTGCGCCTCAAACCAGGCGCCCCCCCCCCAGTGCAGTGCGGAGGAGGCGCCCACACCGCGGGTTACACTAGGTTTAGGGCTGGAGGTTAGGGGTGCTTTAGGGGCAGGCATGGAGTTAGGGTTAAGGGTGGGGCGGAGCCCTCCTCTCCCCGGCTCTGAACGACTCACTTTCTCCAGACTGGGATTCAGTGCTGCAGCGAGGACATGATCCAGCAGCGTGACCGCGGCCTCTCCCGAGTGCTGCAGCCACGGCAGACAGGCTCCCGGTGCTGCGTCTCAGGATACTCCCCGCCCGCACTCCGGGGTGACACTGACTAGAATCTCACTTAATGGCTTCTTTAGATGCTGCACCCAAGTGTTCCCTGGAGGCAGGGAGGATAGAAGGCCTTCGAGTCCGAACTTCTTGTCCCAGCTCTGAAGATTTGCGGGTGGAAGTGAGTTCCTGAGCATGTCTCCGGAAGGCCATCAGGGAGGCGAAATTCATTTCCACATCAACAGCAGACCTTTCAAACGGCGGGACGGGATCCCCGATTTCAGTCTGGACCCTCTGAGCTGTTCTAACTGGAATGACCTGGCCGGCCGTACCTCTGTTTTCACAGGCACTAATTCATTTTCTCTTCTTTGTACTTTGGGAAACAGTCTCCCCAGAGAGACGGGGCTGTTTTTGCAGGAACAGCATTGACAGAGGGAGGAGAAAAGCGACACCAGAGTCCGAAGTCACCTGAACGCTCTCCCGTGCCGGGCATCGCTCCACAAGGGTTCTGCGACTGCTACCGTCCTCCTTCCGGTCCACCTGGGGCCTGACCTTTGGCAGGACAAAGTCTACCGTGTTTGTCTTCACCGTTTCACGAAGTCCTAGGCTCAATCCTGTTTTCAGTGTGTCATGAGATGGAGAATATGATGCCCACGAGAAGACACCTGGGCTCTTCCCACTCCTGGTCCCAGCTAGCCGGCGAGCAAGACCTGCTCCAGCAGGCGGCCTCCAGCCGCCATTCAACCTCCTTCAGCTCTGCAGCGCTGTGGCAGAAACGCTGCCCAGTTTGGTACTGCTCCGTACCAGACTATCCCCAAATCAACTTCCTTTTAAAAACCACATTCATTGCATTTGCTCACAATTCCCTGGGTCAAAAGTTCGGCATTTCTTCTCCCAGATGAGGGTGGGACCGTCCACTGCCTTCACATCTGTTCGCACCTGGTGCCTCCAGCTGCCTCCGTGTCTCTCGGCCTTTCTTCTCCACCGTTGTCTCATCGGGGCTCACGCAGCATCCAGATCTCTTTAAGGTGCCCCCAAAGGGGTCTTCTAAAGGAGGATGAAGCAGAACAGCAGGTCTTCAGCCTTCTGGGAACAGAAACCACATCCTCTCCACAGCCTTCAAGGAGCAATCACTTCCTACACCTTGGATGAGGAAGAAACCAGACAGTGGTTGGCTGGTGGCTTCCTTGCTGTTCAGGGGACACCACATTTTCATTTTTATTTTCTTATTTCTTTCTCCTGCTATGTTAGCAATCAAGGCTATTTTCTGTGCAAAGAGAGGGTAACCAAAGGAAGAAAAACAGAACCACCATTTAGGGATTACTGAAGGTATAAGATGTCCCGGGAACATAAAATGTAACTATGGAGGTGCTGGATCAAACCCAGGACCTCATACATGCAAAGCATGTGCTCTACCACTGAGCTACACCCCCAGTACTGGACAGCTCTTTTTTTTTTTAGCCATGTTAAAAACTATTACACCCATTGTCTGCATTCTTGGGAAAGCTTTGTTTTTATTCTCCTTCACCTTTGTGTTGTTTGTTTGGCTTTGCTGTAGCTGTACTCTAAGGATGACTGCATTGTAGACCAAATTGCCTTTCCCCCCAGCAATCTACAGGCATAAACCAAGGCTTAGGAAGTGCCTCCATCAATGTCCTGTATACACAATGAAAATCATTGTTCTTATTTCCAGTGAAGTCACTATTTTCTTGAGTTGCATATCTTGAGCAATGTTTTCATGTTGGCAAGTTGAGAAGAGAGTGGGGGGAGAGAAAGAGAGATTTACAGGCTGAACTCCTCTCCAATCTTCCCTCCTCCACTCCCAACCAACCCTGACCAGCTTCCTGTGAATGTAGATTAGTTTGCATTTGTAGTTTATTATCCTTCAGCAAATGTGTGCACTTTTCAGTAGATGAAGGAAGACACAGGAGGTAAACAGCTCACTCGAATCACCAGGACCACGGCCCCAACCCACATGGCAAATACTAATATTGGCTGTGTTTCTCAGTAACTTGGAAAATTGTGAGAGACTAAAGAGAAAAAAAATTAAGGAGCCTCACATTTCCTTTGTAGTGTCCTTGATTTGTAGGCTGTGTCTGGGTGAACACCGGTGGCTGAGGCTGTTCCCACCCCTCACCCCGGTTCCCAACGCCCAACCCTGCCTGGCTCAGATCCACCGGAGGGTGAGGGGAAGGGACAATTGGCCTGGCTCAGCAAAGCTGAAGCCTACTAAAGGCAAAAGTGGAAGATAAAGTATTAAACGTGAAACAGGAGGACCCCTTCACATTAGGAGGCTTGGGTAGCTCAGATGGGAGAGTGTTAGGCTGGTAAACCTAAAGGTCTAAAGTTTGATCCTACATCTTGGCAGAGCATGTATTTTGGTTTTGGTCTTAGAGTTGCTTAAATGACATCTCCTCCAAGTAAAGAAGAGCTCTAAATTCCAGGCCAGGAATGTCTCATTTTAATGTTTCTTAATTAGACTGACATTTAATAATAGTTTAAAATGCCAAAAGAGGTGGTTTGGGTCGCTGTCCTGGATACAGAACCCCTGTCCCTGGGTCCCTCACCAAGGTGGCCAAGGCTGTCCCTGCAACCTAGGTCCACAAAAGTGCCAGGCTAAGCTCACCATCCAAGCCTAGACCAGCAGAAACCGGTTCACCTGACTTGGGTCCCAGATCTGGTGGAGGAGGTTGGAAAACACCAATCCACGTCCCCCGCCTCGCCCCCGTCCCCTGTTTATTAGACAGGGGCTTTAACCAGCTAAACCACAGAGCCCGCACTGTGGATCCTCTGGGCTTCTTTGATCCGAGAGATAGGTGCGGGTGTAGACGAAAGTCAGAGGTACTCAAACCCAGGATGATCCACCACAGCACTCCTGAGCGAGTCACCGACCAGGAGGGAAGGGCAGGATCCCTTGCGGTCGGTGTCAGTGTCGGAGTCGGGCTCGGGACCGGGGCTGAGGCAGGGGTCGGGGTCGTGGCGCAGGGCAGGA